GACTCAGACATGGCCTTATCTTGCCTCTGTGCTACCAATTTCAGCACAAATGCTATAGACACTTCCATGCACTCCCCACAGACATGAGACTCCTTATTCTCATCAGCCCCCTCTCTTATCCCATCTCTTGGCCCTTTTCCATAGATTAAGAAACGGTAACAGACTTAGTTCCATTTAGAAAAATACTTTCTGTAAGCTTCTGTGTTTTATGAATGTGCAGAGTTTGTTGCATTGAAGAGGTAATCAAAGTCCTGATCAGTCAAGATGACAGATTCCTGGCCTCTATCCAGATGTACTGATTGAGAATCTGAGGGTTGAGTCCAAGATTCAAGTTGAAGTTCCTCACGTTTTTTTGTGTGTGCACATGAGATCCAAGAACTATCACTTTAAACGTGGCTACTGAAGTCTCTGTCGATTAGCTTTGTGGTCAACTAATGCTTGAACTGAGGTTTCCTTAAATGCCCTAAACCAACAAGTCTGCTATCCTTTGCTGAGGAACTGTGTGTATACTTTGAGGCGTGTCTTCAGTGCTCTGGGAGACCGTTTAAAGCTCTACCTTTTGCTTTCACTCTTATACATCATCTCAAGGTCAGCCAGAGGCAAGAGATTCTCAGACCTTCTCAGGTCTTTGCTGAGCAAGCACACAACTCTGGGACCATACACAGCTCTACATGTGTGTGGCCTCCTAGAGTCCCAGGAATAGGTTGGAGTTTTTCCAAACCCCTTCGGGACCCGTCATCCCCCAGCTTGTCCTTTTATGTTTGTTGGTCAGCTTTTTGTTTACCCCAGCTGTTAATACCACCTCGAGCCATGTGGTGTTAAATGATTGCTGCTGAGAGTTACTTGACAAACGCCTTAGGGAAAGGGCAGTTTGGTGGAGAGTGAGCCCTGCATCAGGTCAGCTGAAGACAAGGTCTCTGAAGATTCCCAGGGAAGTGGCAGACAGGCAAGATAAGGACTGTTCTCTGCAAGTCCAGCTTTTAGCATAGCACCGAACTCCTTTCTGGCCTCCAAGTGCTAGGCTTCTATTCCTGATAACTACCATGATTGTGAGGCTGTTACTTTTCAAGGCTACCATGATCTGGGGGGAGGGGTATTGGTATAAGGCAAGTTAAAACACCACTAAGTGCTATTCTTCCCCAAATTCTGTTCTTGAAAACAGTCTCCACAAACTGTTGCAAGCCTTTGGCTACCTTTCAGAGTTCTTAAAGCATTGACTCTTGTTTTCATTTTGTTTGTTTTTACAGTGTTTCTACTAGCATTCTTGTTACTTTTGTGGAAGAGCAGATTTTCAGAGATCTTCACTGTTCTGACGCTGCTCTCCTGGGAAATTTGAAAAGACCTAAATAAATGGAGATCTATGTTCGTGAATTGAAAGACTCCTTGTGTGAGTTCTCCACAAATCTATAGATTCCGTGAAATCCTAATCCTAAATCCACCAGGATTTTTTCGTTGTTGTTGATACTAAGATTCTAAAATGCATATGAAAATGCACAGGACCTAAACTATCCAATCTTGAAGGACAAAGTTGGAGGACCCAAACAGAGTTCAAGGCTTACTACAAAGATACGTAATCAAGATAGCATAGTACAGGCATAAGGATCAACAAATAGGTCCATGAAAATGAAATAGATGGCAGAAATAAACCCACGCTTAATAGTAACTTCACTTTTGACAAAGCCCCCGTGGTGGAAAAGACCATCTTTTCAACAAACGGTGCTAGAATTACTAGACATTCACTTAGAAATGGAGGCTCAGGGTTTGTGTTTTTCCCATCTCCTACCATAAAGAAAACTTCAGATCGATTTACACCACTAAACTTGACTAAAACTATAAGCCTTCTAGAAGACATAAGACACTATATTGTTTTGGAGGTAAGCACTTAAGGATAGTTCTTACTGCATTCTGTGGTCCTGTTTTTAAGAAGTATCATAAAAAATGAATAAACGAGAATATGTCAACACTAATATCTTTTGAGGAAAATGTTTTTAAGAAAACCATTTCTCCTAGCTTATTCCTTACTTGAGTCCTTTGTCAGACAGGTTTTCCAAGTGTCTGGAATAAAGAATTCCCAAACTCGGGGCGCCTGGGTGGCTCAGTTGGTTAAGCATCCAGTTTCAGCTCGGGTCATGATCTCACAGTTTGAGTTCAAGCCCTGCCTTGGGCTCTGTGCTGTGACAGCTCAGAGCCTGGAGCCTGCTTTGGATTCTGGGTCTCCCTTTCTCTCTGCCCCTAACCCATTCTCATCCTCTGTCACTCTCAAAAATTAAAGACAATTATAAAAAAGAATTTCCAAATCCCTACGACTCCATAAACACTCAGCAAAACATTCTAATAGAAACTTGACAAATAAAACCACAAGAATAGCCAATGAGCACATTAAAAAAAAAATGTCATAATGGAAACAAATGAAGTCAGAGACAGGTCTTCAGGGTTTTTCACTGTATGTATTTCCAGTGCCTTGCACTATATATAAATTTTAACTGAAAATACTAACATAAGGTATTCATGGGTAAAACATCTGATTCTGAAAGTTGAGTGCATTAAAAATGTTGAATTAACAGTAGATAAATGAAAATAACTAGAATTTTAAGTCGTGGACAGGAGTGTTTGCAGTATCATTCTTTCAGCTTGTCTTTATCAATCTTACAATAAAATGTTGGGGAAAATTCTAATGAAACCAAAGAACTAAAATAAAGCCTGGATTTATCATCTGTGACTGTTCATAGGGCCACAGTTGGGTTTTGGCTTACTGTGTTTCTATCCATTCTGTGTTACTGAAAATCCATGTTGTACCCCCTTCCTGGACTTGATCAGATATAGGTGCTACTCCAGATGGGTTCAATCATCTGTCCCCTGAGTCCTGGAATTTGTCTCCAAGGACAGTAACAGTGACAGCTTTGCCTGTCTATGATTGCAACACTCTGGCCAGCACAGCCATTGCCTCACCTTCCATCATTGGTGTGTTCCTTTTCTGCCCAAGACTTTGATCACCTTCAAGGGTGGTGGGTGGTGGGGTGTGGGTTGCAGAATAGCTATGTCTAACTAGATGGTGACCACACAGAATGTGGTTTCCCCAGTGTCTTAACGGAGAGGTTAGATTATCCAGACTTGGAAGTATGACAGTTAGTACCTCACAGGCACACTCTAAAGATGAATCATTTCTATTTCTCTCCCACAATGCTTCAGTCAAACTCAGTGGATCCATATGCCTCTCTTAGAACCTCTCAAGATTAAGCAACCTGTAAAGCTTCCTTGAAGCCATGCCAGCTCAGTAATACCCCACCTATAATTGCTTTTTTTTCCTTTTTCCAGCTGCTTGCTTTCTTTCCAGTCTTGGGATTGTTCTTTCAATGATGGGTTAGCTTATGCTCTCTAGAAAAGATCCTGAGGCAAATCTTAAGTGCTCCTATTTGCTTATTCTTCAGTGTCTTCATTTTTTGTTGACTCACCTAGTCGTCTTCAAAGTCTATATAGTTCTCTAGAACCATGAATTGAGTTTCTAAAAAGGCAACAAAATGTACCATAATTTTACTATAACAACAATTTCAATCACTCAAAGGAATATTGTGTAATAAAAATACTTAATGTTTAGAACATGTGATCAAATTATAGCACCAAAATTTGCATTTTTATTGGATATATTCATATGTTGAAAACAGATGGTTTTCAGATGAAAACCAGGAATGGTTTGCTTGATAATCTTAAAGATGTGTACAAGATTGCTTTCAGCAACACGTGTATACAATAGCCAGAAGCAGAAACAATCCAGTGCCAGACAAAATACAGGATGCCCAGTTAAGTTTTCAGGTAGACTTTTTGTGTGTGAAAATTTTTTCAGTCTTTATTTTTGAGACAGCAAGACAGAGTGTGAGCAGTGGAGCAACAGAGAGGGAGACACAGAATTGGAAGAAGGCTCCAGGCTCTGAGCTGTCAGCACAGAGCCCAACGTGGAGCTCGAACTCCTGAACCATGAGATCCTGACCTAAGCCAAAGTTGGACATTTAACCGAGCCACCCAGTCACCCCTTACAAGCAATCCTATTTTTGTGTATAAACACTGCAAATAGTGCGTGGGACATACTGAACACTTGATCTGAAGTTCAAATCTAACTGGACACCACACACATTCATTTGCTGAATCTGAACATACTGGAATACTATACAACAATTAAAATCAATGAACTCTAGCCACGTGATCAATATGAACTACTCAATGTTGAGCAAAAATGTCTCTACACAAAACTTAAACTCAGGCGGAGCTCAACAATAGTTGAGGAAATCAAGATAGTGGTTAGAAGGTGGGGAAGAAGATGCTAGTGATCTAAGAGGGGTCGCTGAGAGGGAATCTTCTAGACTGCTAATGTCTCTTGAACTATGGGGGTGGAGTGGGGTTGGGGAATGTTCAGACTTTGATGTTGCTTTAGTTCATTTGTTATGCCCAGAATTCGTGATCCCCAAAGACCACCAGGGAGCCGAGTCCGATATAAAAGCAAAGAGCCTTTATTTGAGCTAGCTCGAGCTCTATCCCCTACCTGCACTGACACAGTGGTAAGATGCCGGAGAGACAGAGCGAGTTTCAAAAGCACAAAGGTTTTATAGGGGTCTAGGGGTAGTCAGGAAGGTAGTGGTTGTGGCCTTAGCCAATTGGCTGGGGAAGGGTCAGAGTCCTGTTAGGCAGGTTGCCAGGCATGGTTTGATTGGGAAGTTACTCGGGGAGAAGATGTGGTCTGAGGTTTGAGCGGGAATTTCTTTCTGGGGCCATGTCGGGGACATACTCAAGATGGAGGACACAGAACAAGATGGAGTCAGCCAGCCTAGGTCTGCTCTTTCATTCTCCCCTTGTCATGTAGCTTGCCGACCCAACCATGGGACTGGCTGCATTTCTATTTTGTCCTCTTCTGTTATTAGGGGCTTGTACTGAGCACAGAGGACCATTAGTTGGACGGCCCCCATGCGGTCCCTGAGCTGGTGTCTATGATCTGCCAGGTAATGTTTTGGGGGGCGTGGGGACTCCCGGCAGCATGAGCAGTGACAAGCAGAGTTAACAGAGTTACCAATATCAGATGGGTCGAATGCGCTGTAACTCGACCTTGAGCAGGTTGTGTTGGTCCCGATTGATGGCCCATTGTGTTGCAAAGTCCTTCCGGATCAAGGAGGGGTCCACTGGCCGAACGTGGGTGTGATGGACCCAGGTCACGATGCCCTCTACTTTGAGAGTGGTGGGGGTTGTCAGCACCACAATGTAGGGTCCCTTCCAGCATGGCTCAAGTGTCTCTCAGTGGTGCCTCTTGACGTAGACCCAGTCTCCCGGCCTGTAGTGATGAGGTGTCGGGGTCGGGCCAGCCTTGTAGATGGCATGGAGGCGCAGCCAAATGTCCTCGTGCACCTTCTGGAGCCCTCTCAAGGAAAGAAACAGTTCTGGATCTTTAAACTCAGCAAGAAGTTCAGCTCAAAGTTGGGAATAATGGGGGGTAGCCTGCCAAATATGATCTCATAGGGAGTAAAACCCAGGGTGTAAAGAACGTTCCTAACCTGGTAAAGGGCGTACGGTCGGAGAGT